GAGAGAGAGAGAGAGAGAGAGAGAGAGAGAGGAATAAAAACTTTAGAATACTGAAAACCATTAGAACTAATTTCTCCTTCCCATTCAGATAGACTACCTTATTTTCCACACAAGCCACAGTGAAGAATAATTATTCCATTTCTATCATGCAGAAGTCCACTATAAAGTAAGTGCCTAGTGTCACACAATATGAATCTAGTCAAGAGAAAATTTTAGATTCTTTTTAGAAAAACTAAAGGATTTCAAATTCCTAATAAGTATTGCCCCTGCTAGGCAACCAGGACTTCATTTAATCTTTCTTTATATTTCATGAGCCCCAAAAATGTTGGAATATAAGTACTATAGGCACTGTTGTTAAAAGATACCCTGTCAATATTTATGTTGACAATATGATAATGTTGACATCCAAAGATACCAATAAAAATGCTTTTTCATCTGGGCTAGTAGTTGTACCTTTGAGACAGATTTCACACAAATCAATTTTGATCCTATTAAATGAAACAAAGGTGGTAATACCTTGTAGAGGCTGCACTCATCCAAAATGAGAAACTCATCCCTGCCCTTCAAAGGCTGACATAGTAGGAATAGTGCAAATAATCCCAAACCATGCTGTAGTCAAGCTCAATGACTGTTTTAAAAGTAAGAAGTATTTACAAAAAACTATAGTAAGTGTACACAAACCTGAGTAGAAGGTAGAAAAAGAGGACTACAATAATATAAAATTTTAAATAAAATATTAATTTCATTTTAATTAGAGCAGGTTAAATTTGTAAATACTTCAAGGACTTTGCTAAGGATTAATGATTTAATTTCTTCTCCATGATGGCTAAATAAGCATAAGAACTTACTTATGTACCCCCCCTAAAATCTTCAAAATAACAGAAAAATATAAAACTGGTTATATAGCAAGAAACTTGGGTCAGGCTAATCAGAATATAATTTTGATTTACTCTTATTCTTTTTCAAGACAGGCTGCCATTTGAAAGTTCTAGGTGCTTCTATTTTACCGTGCAGACAAGAGAACATCTCAATTTAGGGAAAAAAAATGCTTAACATTAGGAAATGTTATAGTATCTGACAAAATTAGAATTTTCTTTCCTCTTCAGCCCAGACCTTAGAATATTTTTACAGTAATTGGAAAATTCAAGGTATCAAAAGATAAAGAGGAGTGAAGCCAAAAGAATTTACATTATACCTCTGTTTCCTTGATTAGAGGCAATGACAAAGGACATTCAGATTCAATTCTTGCTGTTTCCATCCTTCTAACAAAATTGTGAGTTTTCAGCTAACAGAATTGTGAGTTATCTAGGACCCTCAGCTGTGTAGTTCACTGGGGTTGTAAGGACAACGAGGTCTGCAAATAATCCCTAGCTATGCTGTACAGTCAAGCTCAGTGACTGTTTCAAAAGTGAGAAGCATTTACAAATATTTCTATTACCTCTCTGGCAGAGACTGTATGATCTTGTGACAGTTCATTTATAACCCTCTGTGTTGAGGTCTTTTCCTTCCTATGCATGCACAACAATAATGTTATGCAGCAGTATAATTGTACAACTCCATTCGAGTTCCCAGACCTGATTCCAATCCATGTGTGCAGGGGTGGGGGTGGGGGGGTCTTCCCACACACGCAACACCAAGCATTCTCAAACTTCGGCAGGGTGTCTGAGAACTCAAT